TGGAGTATAGAAAACAACCGGCATCCCACGGCATCTTCTGACTATCACTGTGACGAGAATAAATGTATTATTTTTGTTTCTAATTACAAAAGCAATATGTGTTCATGGTAGAAAATCAAGAAATTCAGAAAAGAAAAATACTCAACTGTAATCCTAATAAGCACTCTTGCCATTTGATGAATTTTTACTGAATGTTGAAGGTACAATTTAAGGCCCACAACAACCCTGAGATTTAGGGAATATTATTATTCCCTTTTACTCAATGAAGGGACTAAGGTTCAAAGAAGTTGAGATTTGCCTAAAGACACACAGCTGACAAGTGGTGGAGTCCAGGTTTGAATCTGGTCCTGTATCCCATTTTCCCACGATATTTCATTTGTCTTGACCCATGGATAATACCAGAGGGGATGCCACTTTGTCAAATAACCCCAATTTGCAGATGGGAAATACTCCACAGCAAAATGGTACTGCATGAAGATGATGTGTCTTATCTTTCAAGTGTCTTGTCAGACACTTCCTGCAATTTTGTAAACTCACCCATTGCAAAAGTGGTGGTATTCTGATTCTTTGCCCTTTCTGACAACCAAAACAGAAAGCAACTTTTCTTCCATTACTTGGCTGGAGGCTTCCTTCTGCTTCTGCCCAAGACAGGCTGTGGTTAGCACTCACTGCTTAACCTCTTCCTCCTACAAGCCCCTCTTTGAAGTAGAACATTTTGTTTTGGCCATTTTGACACCATGGACATTCTGTGACCCTAAATACCAAGCCAATCGCTTATAGAAAGTGAACAAATGAACAGCCTTACCCCATTTCTAAGCTTCACTGTCTTCACCACATCTCTGACTCCAGCCCATTCTTGAATCTCCCATCTGATCCTCACTTTACGCTGACATTAGGGTGCATTTCTTCTGCATAGAGTACTTGATGATTTTTTAAAAAATTTTGAAGTTCCTTTTTTAAAAAAATCCTCAATGAGGATGTGCTTTTATTGATTTTTAGAGAGAGAGATGGGGGAGGACAGAGAGAGAGAGAGAGAGAGAGAGAGAGAGAGAGAGAAAGAGAAGAGAAGAGAAGAGAAGAGAAGAGAAGAGAAGAGAAGAGAAGAGAAGAGAAGAGAAGAGAAGAGAAAACACTGACCAGTTGCCCTGACCAGGATCAAACTTGCAACCTTTGATGTATGGGATGACCCTCCAGCCAACTGACCCACCCAGCCAGGGCTTGAAGATGCAAACACATTTAACACTGGGATGTCTTCTTAATGAATTGATCTTTTTGTCAGTATGAAATAAACTTATCTATGTCTGGCAATACTCCTTATCTTTTTAAAAAACAATGTATTGAATTTATTGAGGTTATATTGGTTAATAAAATTATATAGGTTTCAAATGTATGATGATTATTTAAAAATGGAAAATTTAATGCTTTATTCTTTTTTAAAATTTATATTTTTATTGATTTCAGAGAGGGAGAAAGAGAAACATCAATGATGAGAGAGAATCATTGATCAGCTGCCTCCTGCATGTCCCACACTGGGGATTGAGCCTGCAACCTGGGCATGTGCCCTTACCAGGAATCGAATCGTAACCTCCTATTTCATAAGTTGACACTCAACTACTGAGCCACGCCGGCCAAGCTAATGCTTTATTCTTTAAAGAAATGAATTAACTGTGAATGTCAAAATATCACTAGCATCAAAATGACCTCAACAAAACATCATATACCTAGTACCAAACCCTGACTACCCAGCTTGGTCCCAGCCAGTCTCTTGCTGACAGCATTATACACTTCCTGTGCATCCTCCACTGTTAACTGGCCCTGACCTTGACAAGTTATGTAGCTCCCATATGTCTCAGTTTCCTTGTTTTTTAAATGGAGGATAATATCTATTTTATAAGGTTGTTGTGCGATCAAATGCTTGTAATACGCTTGTAAAGGTCTTAGAATATGACCGGCATATTGGAAGCACTAGTAAATGTTAGCTATTAAGACAAATGGAGTTGTCTGTCCATCTTGTCACCTCAAGAGCCCCTTGTTCCTCCTCCAAAGGGGTCTACTGCATGACTAGTGACATCCAGGGGAGGAAAGGTTAGGGCAGGGTCTGAAATGCATGACCAGAGATAAGAAGGTCAGGAGATTTAAACCGCATGACCATCAGTATGCTAGGGGAGGAAAGGTCACACTAAGGGAGAGGTCCTTGTTTTCCTAGTTTTGCCCATTGCTAGACACCAGGGACTTTCCAACTTGGTGACCTTCTGTATCTGGCCCATCATCCTTGCTCTGCTCATGCCTGTCTAACTGCCTATCTACATGTACCTATCTATCTACATGTATATATACATACCCACACAAACACATTATTATTATTTTTTAATCTTCACCAAGGACATGCTTCTATTTATTTGAGAGAGAGAGAGAGAGAGAGAGAGAGAGAGAGAGAGAGAGAGAGAGAAGCATCAATGTGAGAGTGAAATATCGATTGGTTACCTCTAGTACGCACCTTGACTAGGGATCAAACCCACAACCTGGGAATTGAACCCCAAACCTTTCAGTGTATGGGACTACATGCACTCCAACCAACTGAGCCACGCCAGCCAGGGCCACATTATTTTTGCAGTGAATTTTTGGAGAACAGTTTTTAGGTAATATATCTAGTTTATTTTATAAATTTATTTTCCTTTTATTTATTTTTCACTTCCAAAGGTTGGCTGCTAAAGCATTGTCAAGACTCAACCTGGTCTTGAATAGCATGTGAAGGATGTGTGTTTTATTTCCTGTGTGATGCGGAGCCGCCTGTGGTGTTAGAGGAAAGTCTCAGTCTAACTTGTGGGCTAGGGAGCAGTGCAAAGGCTGGTCTGGTGAGGGGATCTTGCAGCCAGGGAGATCAGTTAAGAGGCTGTTAGAATGATTCAGACTGAGAGCTTCAATAAAGATGCCAGACAAGAGGAGATACACATAAGAATAATTTTGGGGTAGAACTGAGAGAACTCAAGAATGGAGTGGTAAGAGAAATGGAGATCATTCTAAAAGTTTTTGTTTGGAGAATAGTGAAACCATTCAGAAAGGCAGCCTTCTCTATTGTTTTCTAAATACAAATGGGATTTGCCCAGCCAGTGTGGCTCACTGGTTGAGCATCAACCAATGAACTGGGAGGTCACAGTTCGATTCTCGGTCAGGGCACATGCCCAGATTGCAGGCTCAATCCCTAGTAAGGGGTGTTCAGGAGGCAGCCAATCAATAATTCTTTCTTATCATTGATATTTCTATTTCTCTCTTCCTTTCCTTTCCTCTCTGAGATAAAAAACAACAAACAAACAAAAAACAAATGGAATACAAAATTTTCAAGGAGAGAAAGATAGGCTGTGGAAAGTCAGAATACAATGCAAGCCTCTTTTTCAACTAAAAAAAAATCTATGTGCACCCAGTAATTTTGACATCTAACCTACAACTAAATGAAATGGAATGACTAAAAAAGGAAAGAAAAAAAGAAAAGGAAAGAGGAAGAACATATAGGGTTGATAATGATTTTCACTGATGATCCACTTGACAGTGACAATTAAGCACATTAAATGTTACATTCCAGGGGGTGTTGGGCAGATGCTAAGTTTGTGAAACAACACATTCTTTCATCTCTACAGATGTCGAAGTTTTCCTCTTCCAACAGAGCAGCCAGAAACTTGTTTGGAAAGACCCAAGCAAGGCCACAAGCACCCCAACTACATCCTTTCCAAGATGCTAATCGACTTTCATCCAAGACCCCTGAAGCCTGCGTGTTTAGTGGGCAAAGGACCAGACGAAGGGACTGCCCTCGTCTGAGACCACGTGAGCAGCCAACCATGCAGAAGGGTGTGGCTGAGGCTTCCAGCCCAGAAATTGTGTGGTCTCCACAAAACCACATTCCCTTCCCACCTCCCTCACAAACACTCCAGCTGGCACAGGGAGAGGTTTAGAAAATGAGAGAATGAAGCTTTCCTATGTTGTATATATGGGTTTTGTTACCATATTTTTAAAGTCAGAACTCCAGATGCATGACATATACAGTTGTGCTAATGGCAACTAAGGAACAGAATATTTTTAAAACACTCTGAAAATATCTACCAACATGTGGTTGCCATGGTAAAGACACATCATGTAGAATACTGATTCCACAAATATTTATTTGGCACCTACTAGGGGGCCAGGCATTGTTGTAGGCACGACAGAAGAGTGAACAAAACAAGCATGCTATGTCATGGGAATGTGCACCCTACTGGGCAGTGCAGTGAGATTTAGGATCCGGTCCATTAAGTTAAAGATAATATCCCAAAAGAACATGACTGGGTAATTATATTTCAGATTTTTAACTTCTGCTTGGATCCTTAAAGTTCAAAAGGACCAATTCTCACCCTGCCTGACTAATTAGTGATGTAGTCTCCAATCTCCAGTGGGAAGCTCTCTTCTCTGAGCTGCCCTGCACTTCCTTTGATCATCTGAAAAGCACTGGAGCAATGCATCATGTGTTATAATTATTTATGTATATGTCTTTTTTAACAGCCTCTTGTGTTTATTAAGATAACTCTTGTCCAGCAAAAAGAGGCCCCTCAAATCAACGTTGATGCTTACAAAAATCAAAAACAAAATTTACTGAACGCCACAACCCTATTAAGGCATTCTAGAAAGTGACTTCCAGAATAATGGGAAAGTTTCAAGCTCTGCACTGCGAGAAGAGTGTGTGAATTATAAGCTGCTCATGAAAAGCTACTCTGTCGGCTAAATGATAGCTTATTTCTCAAAGTTTTAGTTTGATTTAATCAAAACCAACAGGTCTGAGCTTCAAATGATCAAGTTCTGTTATGTCCTACAGCGACAGGCTTCCATGATGAAAAGTAAACAATAATTGAGGAATCCAAACAGTCAGTTTATTAAACCAAGGCTGGTGAAACCATAGCGTGAAAAAAAAAGAAGAAGAAGCTAAAATCAAAAGACTTTAAGACATGGAAAATTTGTTAAGTACGAGGAAATAATAAAACACAAGAGTGACCACAAGAATTACAAATATATTTAAACCTCAGACCTGGGAAATGGACCATACACAGCCTTCTAGGGGAGAAGAGAAACGTCTCATGTCTTGAAAGCATCACACCTTTGGCTTATTTTCGGTGGTTGGTGGAACATGAATGGGAACCACAGTGTTGCTTGGAAACGTCATTTTCACATCTGTCTGACATTCGCTTCTGGGAAACAATGCGACGTATCTCCATCAGAATTGTCTGAAAAGCAGCTTCTACATTGGTAGAGACAAGAGCTGATGGCTCAAAGAATGACAAGCCATTCTTTTCTGCAAAAGGTCTTGCTTCATCTGTAGGAACTGTCCTGAGGTAATACAAATCACTCTTATTGCCCACAAGCATGATAACAATGTTACTATCAGCATGACCTCTCAGTTCTTTCAGCCGTCGCTCTACATTTTCATATTTGAGATGTTTAACAATGTCATAAGCCAGCAATTTTCAACCGATGTGCCACAAGAATTTTTAAAACATTCAATACCTGACTATTTAGTCTGAGGCACTGACCTCTTTCCCTCAGATTGTCAAACAAAAAAGTGACAACAGCCAACACAACAATAGACATCAATTGTGAATGAATAAAAATTATGCCTATTTTTTTTGCCAGATGAGCAAAAAGTATAATATATATTTTGGTGTGCCACAGAATTTTAGTAATTAGTTTATGAGTGCTGTGAGACGAAAAAGGATGAAAATCACTGCCATAAACCAATAAGGCACATACAGGCCCACGATAGTATGTTGATGTGCTAGCTTGGTATCCTTTTTGCCCTGCTGTGTCCCATATCTGTAATTTATTGTTTTCCCATCAACCTGGATGCTTCTTGTTGAAAAATTTACTCCAGTGGTGCTCTTGGTTTCGAGATTAAACTCATTTCAAGTAAATCGAGGCAGGAGATTACTCTTTCCAATACCAGAATCTTTAACCAGGATAATTTTGAAGAGGTAGTTGTACTTGTGGTTGCTGTATCCATTGGGAAGCCCAGGAATGAAGGGACGGGAGCATCATTGAGTGGTATGGATGGGACCAGGGACATTGCTGCAGGTGTAACCCCAGCTTCAGCTGCCAAGCTGTCTGAAGAACCCCTCCTATTTGTGCGAATATTTTATCAGCCTTTGTAGACTCTTTGGGAGCAGGCTGCTTTTGCTTCTCTCTTTAGATCCCTCACTTGACACTGTCCTGATTCTCCTCCCTTTTCCTCCCTATTCACTATGCATCTGATGTTCCTTCCACGCAGAACTCCTTGCTAGTCCCCACATGTGCCAGGCTCTTTCCAGCCTGTGCCTTTGCACACACAATTTCCTCTGATGGAACACGCTTTCATTCTTTGCTTTGGAGAACTGTGACTCTTTTTGGGAGACTCCACTCAGAAGTGGCTTCCTCAGTTAATCCCTCCTTGACTTACTGGGTATTAAGTGGTCATACCAAAACTCCAGCATATCTGTTAGCTGGAGTTTTGTCACTGTGTGTGTGTGTGTGCGCGCGTGTGTGGCGCGCGTGTGTGTGTCTATAAGCTCTGGGGTAAAGTCCTCATTTTATCTGTCTAGATCAGTGGTTCTCAACCTTCTGGCCCTTTAAATACAGTTCCTCATGTGGTGACCCAACCATAAAATTATTTTCGTTGCTACTTCATAACTGTAATGTTGCTACTGTTATGAATCGTAATGTAAATATCTGATATGCAGGATGGTCTTAGGCGACCCCTGTGAAAGGGTCATTCGACCGCCAAAGGGGTCGCGACCCACAGGTTGAGAACCACTGGTCTAGATCTTTGGGTCCTTGTATCTTTGCCTTTCACTTCAGTGAAAGTGTGTGGAATATCTTACTTGCCTTCTGAATGACCAGGGAGAGAGCCATGACTCTAAGGCCCTTCTCTCTCTCTCTCTCTCTCACACACACACACACACACACACACACACACACACACTCACACACCTCATTTGTCCTTGCTAGAAATTTCCCCCAGTGCTCACTCCTTGGCTTGAAGGCATTGAGACTTCTGTTAGAAGACAAAAGTTATACAATGGATGAAGGACCAAGAGACTTATATTCTAATTCCAACTCACCTTGCAATTAGTTCTGTGACCTTGGCCAAATCGTATCATCTCTCTAGGTCTGGGTATCTCCATTGATGAAGTGGAAACTGAACTCAATCCAGATGATACATACTGGTAGATTTTTCCCTTCCAGTGATTAACTTCAGTCAAATGGTAGGAGCCTCCCAGAGAGCTTTGTGGAAGATTGTAAAGCTCAGGTCAGGAAAGACACTCACCTAGAAAGAATATAGTGACCGTTTCTGGCCATTTAGCACAGAAGTGGGAAGTGGGGCACCTGTGCCTGTTACTTGCTGACATTGCACTGGGTAGGTTTTCAAGTTCCTTTTAGCTCAAACACTCCATGCTTCATGATCCATGCAAGATTATATGTAAAGCCAGTTCAGTTTTGCTCAGGAGGCATATGTCAAGTGTCTGCTTCATTCTATGTACTGGGCAGTTTGAGATAGAAAGAACAATAATGCACAGTTGTTGCCTGTTAGGGACTTTGGGTGATTAGTAGAGGTAGGTGGTAAGTATTATCTCCTTTTAGCAGATAACCGAAACTGAGGCTCCACCAATGAGTAGAGGAATGGGGTCTCAGACTAGTTTGATTCAGAGTGCTTTATACTTTTTCATATCCCTCACTACCCTTCATTTAGAAGGGTGTTTTCATGCCTGGTGCATCATAGCAGAGGCCCAGGATAAAGAGTGGATAGTGTTAGAAACCTGGAGGGATGATTATAAAAGGGAACAGAAGAGTCCAGAAGACAAATTTCACCTACTGTATGAGGGTTGGCCATGGCTTCAGCTCAGGAAGCCTTCATCAGGCCACATTTTCAGGCAAACACATTTCATCATGTCCCATATGCCTCAATTCTAGGGAAGATCCTGTCCCCTTAACATTAATGGGGTTGGGGAGAGGTAACAACCCTTCTGTGAGGAAAGAGGGCAGGATTTCAATCAAATCCTATTGATAGACAACAGGCCATATCCTTGTGCCATGAAAGGTGTCTACCAAACACCACCTGAGGGCATGGTCCTATGCATTTGTGAGGTTTGGAGGAGACCTTTTATATCTATTTGGTTTGAAAATGCCATATTTTCCAAGTAGTGAGATTTTTCTAAGTAAGAGCAGATGGCTCTTTTCTGGGCCATGTGTATACATCTTGATGTAGGTGGGGGGTGACCATAAATCTGGAGTGTGATCTCTGGACTCCACATGTTCAGATTCTTAATGGTGATCAGGCTCTGAGAAAACTGTTCATGTCACTAGACTCACACAAGGCAGACAGACATGAAGAAAGGAAGTTATTGATTTGTAATAAATTTTCACACTACATGCAATGCACACACAAACATCATATGCTCCAGTAAAGTTAGTTAGCAAAGTCATCCACTTCATGATACTGATGGATCTGGGAAACCAACCAACAGTCAGGAGGTCGCTAAGGGAGAACCCAATGTTGGAGAAAAGAAGATTCAATGAACTGAATATGATACTTATTTTTGGCTACAGTAACTTTAATATAAAATGGAGCATGTTGGTCCTAACTGGTTTGGCTCAGTGGATAGAGCATTGGCCCAAGGACTGAAGGGTACCGAGTTTGAGTCTGGTCAAGGGCATGTACCTTGGTTGCAGGCTCGATCCCCAGTAAGGGGCGTGCAGGAGGCAGCTGATCGATGATTCTCTCTCATCAATGTTTCCTCTTTTTAAAAATTTTTTATTGTTTATGTTTATTCTTTATGTTTAAAGTATTACATGAGTCTCCTTTTATCCCCCATTGACCTCTCCCCCACCACCCCTTCCCCCAAGCACAAGCCCTCACTCCCCCCGCTACTGTCTGTGTCCATTGGTTTTGCTCATATGCATGCATACAAGTCCTTTGGTTGACCTCTCCACCACTACCCACCCCTCTGCCTTCCCTCATAGGTTGTACAGTCTGTTTGATGCTTCTATGTCTCTGGTTCTCTTTTTGTTCATCAGTTTATGTTGTTCTCTCATCAATGTTTCTATCTCTCCCTCTCCCTTTCTCTCTAAAAAATCAATAAAAATACTTTTAGAAACTAGAGCATGTTGGAACTAGAAGAGACCAAGTTCACCTTAGCCTACTCTCTCATTGCACAAAAGGGGAAACTGAGGCCCAGAAAGGAGAACTGACTTGCCCAAGCTCACATCATTTTCCCTGTCATCCTACAAGAATAAAGCATCATTCTAAGCAAAGTGGAGTCTTTCATAAACTCAAAATAGATATGAGCCAATTCTCTACAGTATGATTAGTGCTCTAACATAGGCTGACAACGATTTTCTATTAAGGGCTGGATGGTAAATTTTTATTTTGTTTTGTTAATCCTCATCCAAGGATATTTTTCCATTGATTTTTAGGTAGAATGAAAGAGAGAGGGAAAGAGAGAAACATTTATGTGAAAGAAACACATCAATTGATTGCCTCCTGCATGAGCCCTGACCAGGGCCCGGGCCAGGGAGGAGCCTGCAACCAATGTATGAGCTCTTGACCAGAATCAAACCCGGGACCCTTTAGCCCGCAGGCAGATGCTCTGTCCACTGAGCCAAACCGGCTAGGGTAATATTTTGAGCTCTGTGGGCCATATAGTCTCTGTTGCAACTCCACTGTTGTAGCACAAAAGAATTATAAAAGTGGCTGCATTCCAGTAAAATTTTATTTATTGGCATTTAAATTTAATATGATATTCACATGGCATGAAATATTCTTCTTCTTTTGATTCCCACCACCCCCCCCCCCAGCCATTTAAAAATGTAAAACTATTCTTAACTCACAAGCTTACAAAAACAGGTGGCAGGCTGGATTTAGTCAGCCGGCAGTGGTTTGCTGACCCTCATCTTAGATGAACAGGGGTTCCAAATGATTTTTCACCACCCATGAAAGTATGATCTAGTCGTTGACCGGAGTTACTCTGTAAAGGCAGGGCAACAGAGGTGGGTTCTAATGCAGAGAACAGCAAAAGACAAGAAGAGGCCTGAAAGCCATAGTTCATCCCCACCCCACTTCTATTTCCAATTAAACACCAAAAGCTTCTGCAATCTTGAGCCAACTTTCATTTATTTACTTTTCTCATTACAGAGAATCTCAACTCTGCGCTGTTTAACATGTAGATTCCTCTGCAGAACAGCTGGCCCTTTCCAAAGTTCCCACATAGCCATGGCTAGAGGGAGTCAAATGGCTACACGGGACTCAGTCCCTCTAGGGTACGGGAATTTTTTTTTGACAGCATTAGGGTGCCCTGTGAGTGGCTTTGGGGGAGACTGACCACCTTCCCCTAGTATATGTGAGCAGACTGGCAGGGTCATTAATCTTTGTATGTCAGCCATTCAGAAAAAAGTTTGACACTTCAGTGTCACTAGGCTTTGTCATGGGCAGTTTCCCTGATGAAAAGATATATGTGCTCTTTCACCTTATAGGAGAATTCTCTGGGTCTTAGTTTCCTCACCAGTAAAATGGACATAATATCACCTACATGATGGGCTTTTATGAGATTATATGTGTGATAGAATTCTGTAAACTGTCAAATTTTATATAAATGATCTTATAACCTTCCACCACTTGCTTGTATCCCTACACTCAACAAACCCCCTTTATCTTTGAGTCTCATTTTCCTTATCTCAAAAGCCAGAAGAGAGAATTTAGTGCTTCTAAATTCCCTCCCAATTCTGCCACGCTGGCCCTGTGCCTCATAAGGAAAGGAGTTTTTCACCATATGGAGAGGAGTTGTGCGTTATGATTGAAGGTGAAAGGCAGGAACAAAGAGGTCAGATATGGGAAAACAACAATAATAAGAGAAGGGAACCTTAGCCCTAGACAAGGAGTAACCCAAATGCCCTCATTTGGTGTCCAGGATAAAATGTCTGTTTCCTTACAAAGTAAAAAAGCCATGTTCGTTGGCATAGTCCAAATATGCTTTACATAACGAATTTGAGGATCTCATCAACCTTTCTTTTCCCTCCTTATTAGAATCAATCAATTCATGGAAATGTTGATAAGATTTTCTATTCATCCAGCAATTTTTAGCAAGGGGCTCTCTGCCCAAACACTTCAATGTGGAATACACACTGCTGTATCATGTTTTTTTTTAAATCTCTGCCAGGAGTGATGGCTTCCACAAAGCTAAGTCATGTCCCATAACATCCTGCACAGATTTCCCCCTTCTTTCTCTCACTTTCATAAAGGAAGCGTGTGCAAGTCCATTGACCAGTAGGTGAAATGCTATCTTAAGAAAGTGACCTTGTTTTTAAGGAGCCAGTGTGGGATAGGAGTGGGCACAGGGCTGGCCCGGCAAACGGGGACAGGTGAGGCAAGCGGGAAGATTAGAGAAACCTGTTTCTCTCCCTCCTCCACACTCCTGGCTTGAGATGTTTAAGGAGGGGTAATGGGATCCAAACCCAGGACCAATCCCGTGGCTCAAAAAGGTTGTTTTCTACAAAGGAGAATGGATCTTAATAGGGCTGTCTGGTGAACTAGACATCTCTGGTGTCTAAGAAATGAGTCTCGCCCTGGCTGGTTTGGCTCAGTGGCTAGAGCGTTGGCCTGAGGACTGACAGGTTTCAGGTTCCATTTCAGTCAAGGGCATGTACCTCAGTTGCAGGCTGGATCCTCGGCCCCAGTCAGGGTGCGTTCGGGAGGCAACCAATCGATGTGACATTGATGTTTCTCTCCTTCTGTCTCTCCCCCTCCCTTCCACTCTCTCTAAAAATCAACAGGGAATAAATATATCCTCAGTAAGGATTAACAATAACAACAAAATAATAATAGGAGATGGGTCTAAGCCTCTAACAAGCAAATTGGAAACCCTATAAATTCTCTTGTGCCCTATGTATTATTGGCCCACAGAGATAAGCTGATTTACAAAAGAATGACTGTATATAGTGGGTCACCATTTCCCACAACTACAGGGGCCTAAGAAACACTTTCAAGACATCTGAATATTCAGTACATATTATCAAAAACTAGAAATGTCCCAACAAAATATCTTGTGTTAGCCCTAATTATCTCTGAAATAAAAACCTTAACAGTCCTTTGGATATACCCCAAGTTTTCCCATCCCTGTGTATTTATTCATACTATTCCCTCTACTTTAAAGACCCTTCCCTATCAAACATTCTTTCTACCACAGAGCACTACTGGTCCAAACCCTACCATGGTTCCATTTCAAGCACGAACTTCCTGATGAAGAGTTCTCTCATTTATTTGGCTCTTGTTAT